GAGGATATACAGTTTCTTCAGATGCATTATCTGAATAGATTAGGGCAGAGTTTTTTTTTCAAACAGTGGGTCTTTTGTGAATGATTTGTTTAACAAAAAGATACGCAATAAGCTATCTATGCTCTGTCCACTACAGGGAATCGAGCCTTGGATTGTAAACCTGTAAACTTGACGCTAGACTAACGGGAACACTAGAACGAGACAGAATCGAGCTGCTCCTTACGCTCGGTGATCCTGCTCCAACACCTTAAATTCTTATGGCATATTATATTAAAAACGTAACACACTATACTATACTTAATTTCACCAATTCCACTTTTGAAGTTGAGAAACGTTTAGTGCAGCACACACATTAAAGTTTCAATAATAACTTAATAGCACTTGCCATTTTATTTACTCTTGTTTTTGTTTGTTTGTTACTAGAGTATTTTTATCCCTTGATGACAAACTTGTAAGTGCATGTTTAACTCTGAACACTTCTTTTGCGTTCGTAGACACACGGAACCGTCAATCCAATGTAACGACTAAGAAGCATTGGTATTAGTAGATGACATTACACCATTTTAGCACCAAGACTTTTTGAAAAAACTATACTATGGTATTATTTTTAATGGTTTGAAAGTAGTTTGTTTTGTGTGCAAATTTTCTCAGTTAAAAAGTTCTGTTGTTATTCCATGTAAACCAGTAAAGCCACATTAATGTTTTTAGGTACTGCACGGTTCTGGGCCTTAGGAGAAGAAAATTCTTGATAAACCTATTATAAGAATTAGAATTGTTTTGATATTGTTCACTTCTAGGAGAGCAAGTGATGGAATGAACTGGATAAAAAGATTTGGATAATTTATAGAAACAAACTAAATCAAAGGGTTAGTTACAAGTATGTTTCTGTTAAAACTTTGTTATAGATGAGCTCAAATTTACTTATGTTTTTACTATACGTCCCATACTCGGATTTTACTTCCAAATAAACATTTCACATTTAAGCATCTGTTACTTCCATGTTCTGCTATTTTATGATACACAACTTACTAAAATCTTTAAATTTATGTTCTAAAGACTAAATTATCTAAAGGATTCGAGTATCATGAATGATCAAAGTAAAATAACAAACAAAATATTTTTTTATACATCTTATAAAAGTAATATTAGATCTAATTCTCTTGCCGTATAATAAACCAGAAACAGTTTATTTATACAAGTTATAAAATTACGTTCTACTGCTTAATGTTTTTTTATACACATTTCCCAATTCAAGCACGTTTTTTAAGACGTTCATCTAAGTACAGTTTGTTCCCATACATTATACTTGTAAGAAGTTCAGAAAGATTGAAAAGGTAAAACTGAAATAATTAAACTGTACTTTGTGTTAAATTAAAACATGGCATTAAGTTTATACGCATTTAAATTTATAGTACGGTCTTTAGAAATACAAGTAGTTGAAAGAATTGCGGTTCTAGATATTAACATTTAGAACAAGTTGTAAATGTTTAACTACATAACTTAAAATAGCTTCATGTATAAAAGATGCAGATCGAAAAAAAAAATTGTTCAATATCAAGATAAATAAATCAAATATCACAAGTTATCAAACCTGTAGTTTAGTTATGCAACAGGTATTTAACAATACTAATTTGTTTTAACCCGAAACCGTACGAAACTTCCTGTATCGCACTTATTGGAGTCTAATTTAACCTGGAATGGTTTAGACACTTTAATTTAATCTACTTGGACCATTTCAACTAACTTTTTGATAAGTATTTTTCTGCTACTCTTCCATAGTATACTGAGTTGTACGAAACTACGTGAGAAACCGGTTTCGATACAGTAGTGAGATTATTAATCCAAGAAAAAGTATGAACGAAAAGGCAGCGAAACTTTACAGGTGCCCACGTTCTCTTCGCTAGGTGGAGGGCTAGTCGCATCCAGCTGGTTAAATTAGAACTGCCCGATTCACTATACTAACTTCGGTTATTGTTCATAATGGTGGACATATGATGTGTGTAAATTATTAGCATACCATTAATTTAGAAGTATGCAAAATGTAGTCTTTCCTTTTATGACTGTTTATTTTTAAAGGGATAAATTACACATTTGCCAAGCTACAATAAAACTCAATATTGTTTGTATTTTTAGCCGTTCATTGATTTTACTTATTCACTGCCATTTCGGACAAATAACTACCGAAGAAGGGGGGGGGGGAGGAGATATATACGAGTTACTATTCTTATGAACTGGGGTAGCCATGCTTTAACATAGGTTCTGAGAGACATATTGGTCTGGTATGAGGGTATTCAACTTGAACGTCAACTTACGCGACGCATGCGTTAGATGGTCAGGACAGAAAACTAAGGTTCAGGGAGAATCATCTGTAGTTTAGACTAACTATTATTCTACTGCCAAATACTACTCCACAGCTCCTAGAACGTTATCTTAAGTGAAATTGAAGTCCTTGGACCTTTTGAAGTGTTGACTTCACAAGCCCCGTAATAAATATGGCCTACAAATACAAACACCCTAACCACTATCTTCCGCAAAGGAATCGTGGTCAAATATGTCATCTTCCTTTTTCCAGATCCATATTGGGCTATTTCGTCGATACAGTGATAGCAGACTTAACTACTACAAAACAAATTCCCGTCCAATCATCAAAACCCAACATACTTTACATAAAGCAAAACAACGTTGAGCCTTCCCGTGTCTCACAATAGAACTGGACGATTAACAACTATTGATTAAGATCGACTACACCGATTAGTATCACAAATAATAGATTTATTGAAATTACGATTAATGTCACGAGAATAACTAATGTGATTATTCCAAGTGCCAAGAAACAGTATATTAATTTATGAAGTATGTCGCACCGACTTCTCCAATTCCACAATTCAAAATACAAATATTAGCAAATACACTTGATAATGAAGGAAAATTTTCAGGGATAAACAACTCTGAAAAAAAAAGAAAATAAATCTCGCATTGTTAGTAAAACAGACCAAAATTGGACACACTGATACACAAAACATGTTGAATTTAGCAGCAGATCACTATGAAAACCTATACTCTCCAAAAACAAACGCAATAGGAAAAAATGGCACACTATAACAACACAAGTAGACTTCACATAATCCTTAGTAAAACTTTAACAACAGAGCTCCTTAATGAAAAACTAGTTACACACAAATGCTGAACCAGAGCTTAAATGAGAACAAAATACCTCAACCCGATAGAACATTTTTGGGATGAACCGGAGCGCAGAATTGGGGCAAGGCCAAGACGGCCCTCTTCAATAGTGGAGCTTACTAATGATTTAATCGAAGAATGGAACACACTACCACCAGCTTTCTACTAGAAATTAATAGACAGTCTTCCACGACACATTAAAGCAATGATTAAGGCCAAAGACGGACCAATACACTTATTTTTTTTGACATGTTTTATTCATAACTAGCCGTGTCCCATGACTTTGGTAGGATAGCGTATACAATAATTCCAACCTCAGAGATATAATACACATTTGTAACAGAAATAAATCAAGTTTGTGTTGTAACAATCGCCCAGAAGAAAGCGTTTGACCAGTCAATTGCGACTTTGTCCTGCTCCTTCTGAATAAAATTCCAGGGAATAGTTCATTGGATACAAACAGTATACACAAACGTTAATTCAAATAGTGAATGTCAATGATCACCTATCCAGGGGTAAGACAGGAGTGTCCTCCGTGCCCATTCCTTTTTGTCCTGGTAATTGATATTGTGATTTTCTATAAATCAATTCCAGAACATCAAGGATACCCACATCCCGGGAAGCCCATTACTAAACAAAAAAAGTCTCTGCTCACGTAGACAATGTCACCCTATGCTTAAGCACGTCCCAAGCTAATAAACGTAGTCTGGACATAGTAAATGAGTACAGCGTAACTACAGCCAAAATATTAGGAATTTAATACAGTATAAAAACTGAGTATAACTGGACCATTCAAACACAAGATAAATGAAACAATAGATAAATAGTAAGGAAGTTCCCTACTAACTGAAGCTATCAAAAATAGTCTTAGATAAACTATTGTATACAGGACAAGTTTAACCGCCATCAGCAGTTAAAATAAAGGGGGGGGGAGTACAAATTCATCTGATCTACTAAACCACAACTCATTAAAGAGAGATATTATTGATCTTTCTCCCGAAAACGATGAACTAGTTATGACAGAACAATAAATATCCAACAGCTATCTGGACACAGCTTATCTGAACTCTTCCTCCTGTCCGATCACCCCGAAGCTTAACTCGCAACCTACTAATCTATCTTCCATTTCATCTGAAGAAACGACTGCGTTAAGAAGACAAACGAAGTATATAGCCTAATGCCAAAACAACGTCACCAAAAAGAACACTTCAGTTACCCAACCATAGATTGGAACAAACGTCTCGACGTTACTTAGCCTGGAAGGTTGCCCATGAAATTGTCCCCATAAGAGCAATATTCAATAAATTTAAAATTCCTACAGTAAATAACTTCCTATCCTGCCTCTGTATCGAAACCGTACGCCACGATATGTACGACAGTGCTAGATCTATGAAAGAAATTCGCTTTCAGTTTAGTTATCAAGTATGTCAGTTTCAGCATAATTTTGTCCCGTCACTTTGTTCCCGTTACTAAATCTCTTTTCTTTCTGTATTTATCAGGAATGTTCAAAGCGCAGATTTGTTTAGTCTGTTTTGAATTTCGCACAAAGCTACACGGGAGTTATCTGCGCTAGCTGTCTCTAATTTAGCAGTGAAAGACTAGAGGGAAGGCAGCTAGTCATCGCCACCCATCGCCAACTCTTGGGCTACTCTGTTACTAACGAATAGTGGGATTGATCGTCACATTATAACGCCCAAACGGCTGAAAGGGGAGCTTGTTTGTTGGGACGGGTATTCTAACCCGCGACCCTCAGATCTAGAGCCCTAATCACCTCAGCATGCCAGGCCTTAAAGCGCAGACCTGGACTTCTAGGTGAAGGGAAATATTCCAGCATACTGAAGAAGATCTCGGCGAAATCCCAAAAAGGATTAAGTAGGTTGTCCGCAAAAAAAAGGGGGGGATCCTGGAGAACTTCTGTACCTTTCAGACCATCAGCAAAGCCTTTGATCAAGTTCTAGCATCTAGCTACGAGTCTATGCGATCACGGAAGCCCAACTGTATCGCAAGTGGTCAGACAGGTGAGAAGGACCTTGCTGGGCCAGCCCCCAGTACTGGAGATTGCAAGTCTAATACAGTGGTCTGTCAGTGTCGTGTGCGATTATGAACTCACTTTCGTTCCATATCCACAGAAATGCACAGAATCTAAGACAGTGGCTTTATCCAATAATAATGATCACGCATTCAATCAATGTGCAAGTGTTAAGCGTTTTTAAGTTTTTCTCTTTCCCTCTTGTCAGCAAGGAAAAGTGAAGACTTAAACATATGTCTCAACATTAAGCCAAGTAAGCCTATTCTATATCTAATGACCAAGTGGTGTTTCTGTAAATTCACTGAAAGGTGCAATGAGCATCGAGACCTGCGAGACTAAGTGTCAAAAACCTGTGTATCCAGGTCTTTTTCTTCGAGGAGAAAAACCCAAAAGGCCAACCATAAAAGTAAGTTGCCTATCTCTTCTGTAGTAATATCTTATAAAATCTGTATGTTGTATTACGTACTATAATATTTTGTAGAAACTTTTATCTTACCCTGTTTGTAAAAGCTTATTTGCAATCTTATATATTGTGTGTGATATAGTCAATAAAAAAACCAAAAACCTTACTCTTCTACGAGACGGAACACTCAACCACAGGTGTGGGCATGAGCACTGCATCACTCTACCTCGCTCTATCTTCGTTCCTTTGGGCCAGACGAAAGCTTCTGAAACACCCTACGAAAACATTCACGCCACTCATAACACCTCCACAAACTCTCCTCTGCTTTTCTTGTCTCCCTCTCAATAAAAGCCATCTAAAAGAACTTGACCTAATCCTCTCCACCTGTTGCAAAAACATCAACCAAGAGCGGGGTGAAGAGGTGAAGGCCCCTGGTTCAATGCCTAAATAACTGCCAAGTCGTTTATTTGTTTGCTTCCGCGTAAGAGAAAGAGTAGCACACATTATGCTAACAATTATATGAAGTTTTTTTGTTTTGTTTTTTCCCAAGAAATATTGTATTTAGTAGGTCATGATATCAGCAGTCTCTCTCAGACAGAGATTTGCTGAGGAACCTCCTGGATCAGCTTAGTCGAGATAGTAAACATGTGTGAGGTCACTATTCTATTATGAAGTTGATTAAAAACTAGTGTTACCTAGTAGTTTAAATTTTAGTGCCTGTTCCCCCCCCCTCTCAAAAACACGCAAACCGAAACACCGACTTAAAACTGCCAATAAAAAGATAGTTTTCCAAATGAAGCATATTCTTTTAGCTAGAAACAACTTTCAGATAACGTGTTTAAATGTATTACATTGTTACGACAGCGGAAGTCGCGTGACCCTGGGAGCATGCGCGCTGAAATTTCTGGAATGATCATGAAGGCCCGAGTGTATTCGAGACGCCCTCTTTTTAGTATATAAGCCTGACGAAAAAACCAGCGGGATCGGAGAGATAGATAATCGAGTCAAGCGAGCAGTAGGCACCGTAAGTAAAGTGTGTGAATCACTGTGTTTTATAGCGTGTGTTGTAAAAGTTTG